CCACTTTTCCTTACTGCTTTTACTAGAAGTACTGAATGACATCAAAACGTGTAAACCTTTAAATAACCCCAAGCTGTATCCACTTAAACTCCACTTAAATAAGCATTATGAAATCCCAAAATCTTTGTCTATTGACACAATACCTGCAACTACACGGCTTTTCTCCATGACCTGACGAGCAAGGATTTGATTCAGTGCAAGGAGATGTTCTCGTTCCTTCTTCTCTGCTGCAATCTTGGCTTTGAAAGCTGAGGAGGAACTGGCCGCCGTTTCACTCGTCTCACTTTTGACTTCTGGGTTGTCAGTGGCGGTGACAGTTGTTTGCGTTTCACTGAGCATCTTCCGGATCGATTCTGCTTTCTGCTCTCTTTGTGCCCGCTCTTCTTCTGTTGGTTCTTTCTCATCATCCTTGAAAGATCAATATATGATTAGAATCCTGTTGTCAGAGAATATATGTAAACAAGGCAAAAAAAAAAAATCAAATAAAAACACATAAAAAAATAACACAAGCCCTTCAATTCTATTATCAACTAATTCATCCATTACAAAATTTTGACTACTTGAACCATTTAAAAGAACAAAAAACCCTACTCTTGGGTCTCACCTCATCCGGCATATATCGCTCAGGAATGTATATCTTATCTGGAGCACCAAGTATAGAATCAATTGTTGTCTCATTAAATCGGAGATCTCTTGTGCTAAGTGTTGACTTAACAACATCAGGATGATTTCGTGGTCTCAAGGCTCTGACCATATCACAGTCGTCACGTGATCTGGCACCCTGTAAAAAAGAAAAGGATTGCCTGGTAAATTTCATGTTACCATATTTTACTATACATTAGTCAGGTAATGCAGCTGATAAAATCATTTACACTTAAAAAGTACTGCTATTTTTCCCATACACTTTGTGATTGCTTTATTTTCTAAAGTCAGTTTGGGAAATGCAAGTGAAATTTCACTGACAGGATATGTTATTTCTTTTCAAAGAGTAGCATTCACTGTGATAAATCATACCTGTCCAGAATGGATAGAGTAGTGATGAAAATATTGCCTAATAATGTATAAAACAAAGACAAAGGGAAAATTAATGTAACAATTTATTTTTCTTTCTTAACTAATCAAACAAAAACAACTGACATAAAGTAACCTGCATTTCAAGCTAAGACATTTATTGTTCATGCATGTATCAAAAAGGCAAACAACAGACCTTGGATCAATAGGAAAAATGTGTCATGTAAATGTCAAAATAAAAGCCCTTAACAGCTTAAAAAGGAACCAAAAACACTTGCATGAGGACTAGCTTAGATTCTGCTTCCTAAGTGCAACTCTATTAAAACAACCAACGGAAAATTTGATTGTCAATGAATCTTCACGACATACCATATCCACAGCATCTAGTTTTTTTTTTTTTATCTGTATTGTAGTGATTCTTCAGACCAGAGTTGCAGTTAAATAATTACTTCTTTATACTGAAACATTTAAAAGCAAATGGAGATTCCATTAAATCTAGGGCAAGGACTCTTCCTCATCACACTGGTAAGCTAGCTATGGATCCACTACCCACATTTCACTATCAAATTCTTATAGACTCTGTAAGGCACACAATTTTCCCTTTTCATTCCCTCTGCATAGAAAATATCAAGTCTGCTATAGCTCCATAAAGTATAAACTCCATACTGTACCTCCTCAAGACCTGTATCTCTCGTCTCTAGCATGAGGGGCCGACTACTAGAGATCGTGAAGTGCCTTCGCTTCTCTTTAGGAACGGATCGCCTGTGTTTCTCGGCCTCAGAGGCCATTTCCTTTATAATCTCTTGTGCAGCGGCACTTTTGAAAACAGGGGAGGGGGGATCCGACTTGGAGGGGAGGCTGGGGGGTTTGCTCGGCTTCTCGAGAAAAGCCAAAAAGTTGCTCATGTGCACTCAATGGGCGACCTTTGAGGTTCTCATTCTACAGGAGCCAAAGAAAAAAAAAAAGAAGCCATGCATTACCAGTTGCATTACAGGTACTGTACTGCACAACAGGAATAATGTCAACAGTGTAGAAACAAAATCTATCAAAGAAAAAGAAAATTCTCAAGGCCAATAATGATAGTACTATTTTAATTAACATAAATCTGAGATTTAAATGGCAGATATTCCAAACATTCAATTTATTATATGATGAAGTTGACAAGACACTGAATAATCAGCATAAAGTATTTTTTTTTAAGTTTAAATTTTCATGCTGTATAACAAGATGCAAAATGTATACTTTTGCACAAGAGGTGAAGCAATCATGCAAAATTTCTCTCAATTAAAAAAAAATGAATACATAAATAAATACATAAAAAAATTGAGACTGAAAAGAACAATAATTTTCTTTGGCTATTTCTAATTGGTTGATTATGTCTGTGGCATGCCATTTTTACACTATATTATGACTGAATGATAAATATCCTTGTTTCCTTCACTTTTATCAAAACCAAGAAAAAAGATTCCATCTGGATAGCTAATATAAACCATTACTATCTGAATGCTTGGAATATATAAAAGAATAAACTAGCCATGTTTTTCTTCAGCAGTTATTTCTTTAGCAGTTACAGAATGAAGGTATGTTATGGTAAAAAAATGACTGAACTAAAATACATGAACACACAAACATGCCCACTGATTATATCATCATAAAACAAAGAAACAAGACACTACTTCAATAAAGCAGGAAAACTTTATTAATAGTAATACAGTAAACTCAACAGGAAAAGAATAAGATGCTATCAAACTGACTTCTCTTGTACCAAAAAAATAAAACAAACAAATAAATAAGATGATCAGATTCTTTTTAATAACAAAAGAAATCTACTACTTTCTACAGAAATATAATTTTTCTTGTAAATAAATACATGAAAATGAAATCAAATACCCTAAAACTGGCTACATGAAATTGCAACATACCTTAGCCTTCCACTCGGCTGATTTCTTCAGAGCTAAATTATTGGGTCGTGTCATGGTGCCTGCATTTCCAACACTCGTCCTCATCATTGCTGCCATCATGCTAACACGTTCTCCTGGCCCATTTCGTCCATAGTTCCGAGGCAGTGAGGCTGACCTGAATATCAAGTAGAAGTAAATATGTGCGTAAACATTTAGTGTTAGGAGACAAAAACAGCATATGAATTTTAAGTGGCTTTGCTGTGTTTTGAAGGTTTGTAAAATAATTGAACTTTAATATAAGAAATAAATTAAAGAAATCTAGTGCAAAAACAAGCTCAAAACCTCTATAGTGAATAAGAAGCCAAACAGCAAACACGAAAACAAAAAGGATAAACAGAAATACCAGACAGACAGAAAAAAAAGAAAAATCAATGTAAAATAAATCAAATAAAAGACCCTACAGAATCCTCACCTTGAAGCAAAGGAAGGAATGGGCGGTTCATTCTCAACGTCTGACAGACCGTCGCTCTCAATGTCATCTTCCGTCACGTAAGTCAGGTTGTTCTCTCCGATCGTCACCCGCTTTCCACCAACACTACGGTCCTTCTTTCGCTCTGTTGACTCTCTCTTCACTATGCGCACAGTCTTTATTTCCAGTGGTTTCTCTTTAGGGAGGATACCTATAAGGAGAAAAAATAGAACAAGGCTATTATATATATATATATATACTATTTTATGATCATGTTTTCATTACACAAGAAAACTGTTCATTTTGTTACATCCTTCAACTTTACAAAAATAGCCATATATACAATAATAATTACAATGAAGACAATAATAATAACAATAACAACTTGCAATAATGGTAAAGTAACAAATGCATGGAATACAAGTGCAAGTCAAAATTACCATAATATCTCTTCATTCTGTCATCTGCATCATTGATATCCAGATGGCTCCCAGACTGCTGCTGCTCTTCACCATCTGGTTGGTTATCTGCAGCATCACGGTCAAGCCCCAGCAAGGCACTTCCTCCAAGGTCCCCATTTAACAGAGGCTGTGAAGCAAAGGAAATGGTTAACTCTATCCAGAAGAAAAAGGTGCATCTCTCTTTTTCTGGATGCAATTTTTGTATATATCATTTCATTTCAGTTGCAAAAATTAGATGATCCTTATTATTATTTTAGACTGTACTTTCTTATATATACGTTCATTTCTTACATATATATGTTCCATTCTTATCATACAATCATTGCCATTTTATCATGTCAAGCTAACTTCTATTTATTTTAATATATTGATAATATATCTCATTATAGTGAATAAATATAACATCAAATTGAGTAAAATGTCACCACCACATGCTAGTCTAAATTCCTAAAACCACACATGTACAAATAAAGAAAATAATAACAGCAGCAGGGCAACAAATAAATACCTGATGATATTATCTACCTCATAAGAAATCACTAATCACTTATTAGTCTCATGCTTTTGTAATTCTAGAAGGAACTCCAGCTACAAAATTAATTACGGGTCAATAGTAGCTAATTCTAACTGGGAAAAAAACAAATGAGAGCAAAAATATAAAGCTAATATATATACTACCAGGGGGAAGGGGAAAAGAAAAATTCTTGCAAAACTGAAAGCATTCTCAAAGAGTTTTTTACATCATATGCTGGTCAGTTCTATGGGGATATCTTAATTTCTTTTATTCCCTATGATTATGCTTAAGGGATGAACAAAGTCCAAGAGAATCCAACTGGCAGAAAACCAGATAGTTGATGGTGCCGGGGGAGAGTATATGTCCCTCCCAACCAGCAAGTAAGGCAAGCTGTGGGTCCCAATGGGTTGGTCACTGCTGGGACTCAGACTGGGAGCTGGGGTTATCTGTCCCATCCAGATCCCTACAGGCAGAGTATGGGACCTGCAACCAACCAGTCCTCTACATGGGGCAATATTGGCAAGGGTGGCAAAGGTGGTGTCCACCTGGAGTGACTGTCTGAGGCTTAACCTCAGGTAGGCTGTCAGAGTGGGGGCTTTAAATATGATTGATTGCCACTGCTGTCAGGGGAACTGAAGCGGCTGAGAGTAGAAATAGCTGCTCTCTTGGAGGTGAGAAGACCTGGTAGCAGTACAATCAGAGAGGGTGGCTCTGTTCAGGCCACATTAATGGTCACCATCTTCAGAGAGTAGCCATAGCCATCTCCACCAGACTTTAATCCTCAGTAGTATGAGCATATAATGGTACTGAGACTAAAGCTTGCATTTGGCAAAATGTCTATTTTTGCTGTGTATGCAACTACTGATACTTGTAAACTTGACATGAGAGATGCTTTTGCAAAATTGTGATATACAGTTGTCCTTGGTGTATTGTTCTGGGGGATTTTGATGAGGTATCTGGCAGCAATCAAGCTGGCTATGTCTGTCAGTCCTCATGGCTTGACAGCTGATACTGGCAGCGAGAAGGACCTCTTTTTCCGGGATTTTGTAAGGTCCCTGAAACTGAAGATTTCTGGCTCTTGGTACCAGCACTATAACTCACAACATTAGACATGGTACAGCAATGCAGGTAATGTGGCCAAGGAGACTGACCACATCCTTGTTAGCAGTCATTGGAGGACCCTCAAGAACTTCTGTGCTGCTAGCTGCTAATCATAGATTAGTTGTGACTACCATCAATGTCCACTCCAAAACTCCCTGTGGTCCAATGATCTCCCGAGAGTGTTCCCTGAGGATAGATTGAGGGAAAGGGAGTGTGCCCGAGGGTTTGCTAAAGCTATCTCTTGTTATTTCACAGCACTTAGCAATCTGATGGACCCTGTACTGCTGTGGGACACCCTCAAGTGTGTAATGCTCAGTCATTGCTAAAGGACAAGGAACAATTTATCATGATTCTTACATAGGCGGTCAAATGCCAGTTCTTAGTAAATGATCTTCGTCCTGCCTACAGAGAAAGCTGAACTCTAAGCCCTCCTTAAAGGCATCTGCAGTCCACTCAGCAAGTGGCTAGATCATCTCAAATCCTGTTGGGGTGCAGGAGCATTGGGCTGAGTATTTTGAGCAATTGTACCAGGTTGATGCACCAACAGTAGCCTTGGATGTGGGTAGCGTCAAGATCTCTGTGCCAGACCGAACCATCAGCGGGATCTACCCACCCTAACTGAAGTTTGAGGGGCAATCTCCAAGCTGAACAGTGGTAAAGCAGCAGGTATCTGCAGCATTCTTAAAGGCTGGTGGTGAACTGTGACACTGGGTTTGGATGCTGTCCTGGCTGCCATCTGGCAGACTGGTACCATTCCCTCTGACCAGTTGAGGGCTGTGGTCATCCTTCTCTGGAAGGGGAAGGGGATTGATGGAGTGCAGCAATCATCAAACCATTAAACTTCTCCTGAACAAAGACTTTGGGGGTCCTGCTAAAATCTGTTCAGTCAGTACGTGCTAGTGGCATGGACACTTAAGTCACAGAAAAGTCACATTCCCCCTGACAAGTTGAGGGCTGCTGGTCATCCCTCTCTGGAAGGGGAAAGGGGATTGATGGGGCTGCAGCAATCACCAAGGCATTAAACTACTCCATACACCAGGTACTGTCCAAAGTCATAGTGGAGCAACTGACCATGATTTTGCTGACAATGTTGCTATTTTATCAGAGTCTCTGGAAACCCAAGTAGTGGCTCTAGATGCATTTAGCAATGAAGCAAAGCCCCTGGGTCTAGAGGTTTCTTTGACAAAGACTTTGGGGGCCTGCTAGAATCTGTTCAGTCAGTACATGTTAGTGGCATGGACACTGAAATCACAGAGAGCTTTATGTATTTTGGTAGTGCAGTTCATGACTCTGGGCTGTCAGATCAGGAAGTCAATAGACAAATGGCCTGGCTGCAGGGGTTATGAACTCTCTCAACAAGAGTATAAGGAGATGCCAAAACCTTTGCAGAAGGGCTAAGCTACATATCTTCAAGGTCCTGATACTGCCAGTTTTACTCTGTGGTAGTGAAACCTGGACATTATCCTGTGCCTTGGAATCTCATCTTGATGCCTTTTGTAACATGTCGTTGCACCAGATCATGGGGTACAGTTGGCGGGATCATGTGTCCAACCAACGGTTACACTGTGAGACTGGTACAGGACCCATTACTTGCATAATCCAGGACAGACAAATCAGACCATACAGGCACCTGGTTCACTTCCCACAAGATGATACTGCCCTATCTGGTTGTCTCTGTTTGAGATAACCCTGGATGGTGGCCTGTCGGACGACCTGAGAAGTCATGGCTTAAACAGATTGATCAGACCTCTCATTAGGAGCTAAAGATGAGCTGAGTCCCTGTCTGGCAGCTTGCCATGAGGGACCCTTGTAGGTGTAAATGAAGGGTGGATGCAACTATGTGCCCCATTGGCATTAGCTCCCCAGTGATGATAATGAAAGTCAAGGAGACTTGTATACAGGGAGGATTTACTATTTACAGAGAAAATAATGGGGAATGAAGGAAAAATACGAGAAAAGATAACCGAAATGGAGAGTCTTTGGGGGCTTCCATGCTCAACAGAAGTATTATCATTCACCTGTATTTGATCAGATTCTCCTAAAGCTGAATAATTATGAAGGTATAGATGTTCATTCAGGAAATGATCTGCCAATGACGTTTGGCTATCAAGGAGTTCATTATATGACCGCATATGCTCAGGAGGAGGTGGAGGTGGTGGATAGTCTGTATCTATATAGTCCGGACTTTCAGGGTAATCACTGGCCCAACCTATTGAAGAAACGTTTATCATTATGTCAACAACCAGCTGATGCAGTCTTTAAGTGAGTGAGTAAGCTATCCACACTGTTCAATAATGCCATCTGAGCTGATAACGTGACGAACCACACCTCTGCTTTGCCTTCTTCCACTGCCTTACCTTGTCTGGATATCCTGAAGCATTCACATACACAGGGTGACTGGGCATCCTCTCATCCTCAGGTGGGTCTAAGCCCCTATCCCTCGTTATCATGGCGTCCAGGTCAGTCTCAAGCCAAGTGCTTCTTCTCTTCCTTGCAGGCACAGGGGCAGCACCCACTACGCCAGTGGGGGAGGGTCTCAGCTCAATGCCTGGGTTACTTGATGTTAATCTTTGGATCTGTTTCAAGTTGAATTGGTAGTAAGGGGAAAAAGAATTGAGAATAAGAATTACAAATAAATACCATCCTAATGGTGCTTATGATATCAATATCACCCATGAAGAATATAAAAATCAACAAATAAATATATATAGAAAATAAACACACATCAAGTAAACTATATGAAACCTTATAATAGGCATACCTGATGACTCAGTTCAATTCTCCGTCTCTGTAGATCTTCTAACAGTGTTTGCACGCGAACCATTTCTGCTTCGATGTGGCGTGTTTCAGCACTGCTGCTTGACTCCCTCTGGCAGTTGCGTGCCATGGTTACCTGAATCTTTTGGCGAAGCATCATCATCTCATGCTCTAGCCGGCTGTTCTCAGCGGCAGTCTCTTCTAATTTCTGTTTAAGACAAGGAATTCATTAACTACTGGAAACTACACATTAAAAGCTCAGCTCAATTATTGGTAAAAAACAAAACAAAAAAAAAACTAACAAGTAAAGATGGTTTTCCTCTTGATATATCTACTGAACTATGGAAGTGGTAACAGATAATGAGAGAACAAATGATTCACTACAGTACTACATCTATTAAACCTCTTCCATAACTAATAATGCTTTTAGATACTAAAATTTTGGAATAATCTAGAAAATAAATCAAGACATCTTTTCTACTATGACTAATCATGCAAAATTTCACAGTATGGACTATTACTTGCCATACATATACTGCTAATTCCAATGCAAAATATTAATGAAATATCGACTGTCCTCTAAACCACTATAACTTCTAAATCTACACACTACTAACCCTTTATGTTTGATCTAACTGGCATAATCCAGCATTCTTTCATAAATCCTAGAGAACATACAATCCAATAGCACATCAAACTTAATGGAATCTTTAAGAATAATTTGATATCGAAATGTGAGAAAATACATCTATCAAAGTGATGGATTTCCTATAACCAATTCTTCAACCAACTGAAAGAATATACTTTCATCTCTCCTCACATAACTCCAAAAGGAAGTATTACACAGCTAATATATGCATATATATAAGCACATCTCTCAAACTCACCCTTGCAGACACAGCAAGGTGAGCACGGAGTTTGGATAGCTCGTGTTCCAAGTGCCGTCTCTGTTTCTTTCTCCGTTCAAGTTCTACTGGTCCCTCATTTGCTCCGTGAGACTTGGAATTCAGGTTTACTAGGGTGCGTTCCAGCATCTCCTAGGGTGGAGAGTCGGTTGGCTTAGACTAGCTCTTGTATGAGTACAAAGGCCAAAAAGACATAACCCTCTAAAAAGGTCTTACCTGATTGTTATTACTTATTTTTTTGATTTTATAAAAGAAACTTTTAAAAGCCTCATCAAGTCATAACTGTACTTTTGGAAATCTAATTTAGATGCTGTTACTAAGGGTTTCAATCTTTCCAGCCTTAGTTTGCTATTCAATATTCTAAGTTCATCACAATTCTGGGTACTGCAGTCTCTCAACACATAAGCAAATAATGATTATTTGTGATCTATTTAGGTTTAAAAAAGAAAAAAAAACAAGTAAACCAAAATGTAAAACTGAAACAGAATATCAAGGCATGTCTACTTCTGAGGCAAGCTATATTTCTTGTATTAAGGTCTTTACTCCTGTTTTACAAGACTAGGTTTTTTGTGCATTAATTTTTAATAATTCCTTCTTAGTTTAGAATAAATACTAGCACATTTAGGAGAAAAAAATCAGCAAAATAAAGCATAATAAAAATAGAATCAAATACAGGGGAAAAAACAAAGTCAGGAAAAATAAAACAAAGAAAAAAAGATTTTTCAATAAACTACAAAGCTTAACCCTGTGACATGTACTTCCTATTGTATCTGCATTGCATATTCCTTTATAAAGCAATGAAAATATCCATTCCAAAAGCCCAAAAGCAAAACCAAACCATGCCAAACTACAGATACATGCTTCAAAAAAAAGAAGAGAAA